TTAGACTTGGTGTCAGACTGTGATCTTTAGGCGAGGGGTAGACTAGGCAACGAGCAACACGAACCGATGCAGGGTCCACAGGGGATCCTTTGATGATGCCGCGCCATTGGCCGTTGTCTCTCTCTAGTACCGGTCTGCGGAGAGGTTCAACCAATCAACAACCCGAGTCTGCAATCGATTCTCAGCAGCACGAACATCCTACATGAAAATAGTCTATCAGTAAACACACGCACAAAACGTTGTAAACGGTCTGATCTTACTTTCGTCCCATCAGCTCGACGAAGGGCTGCGTCGAACCGGACGCATACTCGTCGTTCTTGGAGGGTGCGTAGATCCCGATCGATACCCCCTTGGACGCCGCGTTCATTTCGGTGTAAACAGAAGCTATATTACATATGGGGGCGTATGTAAGATGTTGTGTGTTTTTGTGTGACGGACGGCCATAAACGTAGAAAGGGGGAGAAGGTTAGCCTTGATTAGGAAGGATGGGAGGTTTCCGTGATCGGCCGTAATGGACGTCACTTTGACTTGAGCTCGGAGACGAGATCAAAACGCCACAATCTCGTTAAACCCAATAGGCAAGAGGATGAAGGATGGATCCGCAATTGGAAAGTGTATGCGGAAAGGTTGAAAGTTGTATCGAGAGTGGACCGGGGAAACTCACCGATGCTCAACGCTTCCTCCCGCTTGAACCCCATTCGTTCTGCCACCACAGTAGCCCAAGCCGTCATCACAGGTGCACGGTTCGATTGTGTGGATTTAGATTTGAGTGTCTTTGCAAAGTTTTCCGAAAGAGGGAAGTAGAAGAGGGACGTAAGACCCCGGTGTCGCGCCGTGAACCTCCCTGCAGGATGGAAGACTTTTCGCGAGTGGGGTGGGTTACATACCTCCTCATCTAGAACCTCGTCAAAGTTGAAGCCTCCTGGAACTATGCTCTCGCGTCCATCTGGCGGTGACGAATCTGGAAATTCCGGAGACGGCTCTTTCCGGCGCGGTCGTTTGGAGGGAGCTGAGGTCTTCGTGCTCGTCTGCTCATTTACAATCACGAGAAAACGATTTTCTAAGTCTTTCCGATATTCATTCCTTGGACACCGAGAGTCCTCCTCCCAGCGCGGAAACTTACCTTGCTCTTTGACGAAGAGGAAGCCGTTGCCTGGTCGTCGTCGTCGTCGTTTCCAGCCTTCCGCTTGGACCCCTTCTTGCTCCCAGGCGGCGCGACGTAGCCAGCTTTCTTGATCGCGCTTAGTATTAGACCGCGTTGGTCTTTGCTATCCACGTGAAGTTCTATTAATTTCACCGGTGTGAGGTCGGCGAGTTGTGCTGGGGAGTTGTGCGTTGGGAAGCTGTCACGGTAGCATGGTGTGGTCATGGTAGGTATTTTGATATTTTCAGGTATTCGAAAAGAGGTTTAGGACATTTTGGTGTCAGAGATGCATAGAGAACGCTATTTTTGATCGTACATTTTCTTGGTCACTCCCATGGCGTCCGCCATCGGCAGGCCCGATGTGGTGAGCATCTTGAGGAACGCCGGGAGAGCAAGTTTCTCCGTTGAAAGTGAGCTTGAGTCTTCCGACATCGTATAAATTCCTATATTAATAAAATATCCGTGGGGTATAGCGGGAGAAAAGGGGGTTAAAATGTCCCCAATTGCAAAAGACGCGGTTGTGGTGGTGTTGCGGCGCGGGAAAACAAGCAACCCAAGCAAACCGAGACAAGCGACCGGCCTCGCCGCACGTGCCTTGGGGAGGATTCCAACATCGACTAAATCCCCGACCTCACCTCTGGTCGAAGGGGTTTCCGGGCCTTTTTTCTCTATCTCGTTTCTCGGCGCGACACACCACCACCAACAAAGCGTGCTTTATCTATTATGCCTAGACCACCGGCCTACGACCAAAATTACATTAACGCCCAGCATGAGGCGGCGGCTTATAACGGTGGTGCTGCCGCTGGGCAGCAACCCATCATGGAGGATCAGCAGGAGGTTGGAGAGGAAGGGTATGGTACGTCGCCCTGCCACTCGACTCTTTACTTTCCTAGGAATTCTTTTACGTCTGAAGGACGAGTTGGAGTTGGGAGTCTGCTTAACCGCTGGCGTCGTTGCCGTGGAGGATGACTTCGTGGGGGAAATCGCCTAGGCCATGGGTTGCTGACCCCCTCCCGCCGCCCTCCTTTGTCCCTTCCCTTCCGCACAGCTTCATCCACCCCGACCTCAACGCTCACGTGGATAGCATGGTTCTGCTCGTTACCCGGACACGAATACTTTTGCGAAGTTAGCGAGGATTTCATCGAGGACGACTTCAACTTGACCGGATTAGCTTCGCTGGTGCCCTTTTGGAAAGAAGCGATGGAGATGGTTTTGGATGTTGAACCAGGTGAACCACAGGTTTTCTCCCCTCTCGACGATAAGCGAAACGCTGACTCTGAGGCGGGCCTGACTGGTGTGGTGCATAGAGGATTCGTTGAAGATACCAGACGTGACCATTGTGGAATCGTCGGCGGAGCTGCTGTACGGGTTGGTGCACCAACGGTACATCCTTACGCGACCGGGCCTTCAGGCAATGGTGCGTCCCGAAGCAACCTTTGATCGACGAGTTTTACGTTTTAACTGAAAGGGTCGAAATTTCTCCAGGTCGAGAAATACGAAGCTGGCCACTTCGGAACGTGTCCACGAGTGTACTGCCACTCTTCCCATGTCGCGCCTTGCGGCCGAACCGACCTTCCTGGGCTCGACACGGTCAAGCTATACTGCCCGAACTGCAACGACATCTATACTCCACCTAGCAGTCGATTCCAAGGCGTCGATGGTGAGTCAAGCGCGCGCGTTTGAACACGACGGTTGCTCAATGCGGGGGGTCCGACCCCGTGCCTGATGAAGACCCTTTGCTAACCCTTGACATCTCTTGACAGGGGCTTTCTTTGGAACGACGTTCCCTCACTTGCTCTTTCAGACTTTCCGCGAACTTGCTCCCGCACCGTACTGTCCGCCACCTCAACCTGTCAATACGTCAGCACGGTCGCCCAGTGGGACGTACAATGCGCCGACTTTTGTGAACCCGAACCCGAATGGAGGCCAAAAGGCACCGGCTGGAAGGATTTACATCCCCAAAATTTACGGGTTCAAGGTTAGCGAAAGAGCTAGGAGTGGGCCTCGCATGCAGTGGTTGCGTATGCGACCTGAAACCGCCGAAGAGCTCGATCGAGTTGACCACAAGGGGCGGTGGATCGAGGATGAGGAGTTTGACGAGGAGTCGGAACATGACGACCGAGCAAGGCATACCTCATCCCTATTCGAAGGGGGTAAGTGATCAACATGTATAAGGTCAACTTTAGAAACTGACCTCGTCCGGACGATCTTAGCAGACGACGAGGAAGAAGATGACGATGAGGAGGAAGAGGAAGATGAACCAGCTCAACCTCAACAGCAGCAGACCCATACCTCTGGCCGCCCCGGTGGTCGCCAGAGACCAGGTGCCCCTCGCCTCGGCTCCACCGCAGCAACCAAGGACGTCACAGATTCAGACTCCGATGCTGATTCTGACGCGTCGATCGTGGCAGTTCCTCGCATCCCACCTCGATATCAGAAGTACTTCCGATACCGCAAGCCTGCAACTTCTCCGCCACCCGCTCGGGTCGCAGAGACCGATACCGACTCTGGATTGGTTTCGTCCACGAGCTGCTCGAGCAGTGCTCTTGAGACTCCGCGCGAGGAGCTTCCACGACCTGTTGTCGCACCTTCCAAAGGGAAAGCCGTGCTTAGAACAGTTGTGCCGGAACTGAACTCAGGCCTCGAGGTCCCTTCTCTGTTGCGCGAGATTAGTTTTTGATTAACCCGTACGTACATCGTGTTTTCTTTACATATCATCGTATGGTAGTGTGTTTTCTCTTTCTTTCCTTGCTTTCCACTTCTGTCCCCATCACATCCCAAATAATGTGCTGTACGTCCCTCTCTGCACGTTCTGCTTCATATTAACACGTATACCATAATACAACAACATACACATTTCCCAATCATGGATTGAGTCTCGACAATCGAAGAAGGCCAAAGAAAGGTTTTATCACCGTCCTTGTGACCCATGACTTCTGGACTTGACTCCTTGGTTAGGTAGTTGTATTCATTGGTTTGTTCGCACGAAAGGGAAAGTTGTTTCGCAGGATGGTTTTGCGCACCAGGATTGTGGAATGAATACAGAAGTCCACAATCGGTTGAAGAAGAGAATCGTCTACAGCTAACGGAAGCAAGCTGGAAATGATGGGCTACCAGAGAGCGGGTATACAGGTTTCCACTTCGTGAGGAACAAACACTCCTGCCGGAATGGGAAAATCTCCTCAGGGACGGCGAAATGAAGGTGAAGCGACGATCCGAATGTCGGGTACGCGAGCAGGAATATTCATCCCAACACCATTAACGGCCTTGTACAGGCAGCTGCCGCAGAGAGTACGATGGGAAGCGGCATACGGCTTTGCCGCTGTATCTGCTGATCGGTCATGTAGGTCTCAACTACACCGCCTTCAATCTCGGCGAAGTTGGCGGGACAGAATGCGCTGCCCTACTCAGTGTTTTTCAGACTAGAACCAGCTCTTTACCAGTCACTGGTCATAGTCTCGGCTTTTGAAATGCCGTTGATGAGAGCCATCGGGACTTCCTAGAGGAGAATTAGGCTGAACCAAGTGAAGAGGTAAGGGTTGGGGTTGAAGGGGCCTAAAACATTTTCCGGAGCTTGGTACTTAGCTAGGTTTGATTGGCGTTCGTGGCCATATTCACTGTTGGCCCCAACGAGATCCTAAGTTCCTGGAACTAAGTCCGCAAACCGTACATCGTTAGTTTAAGCGAGACGAGACCATACTCTTGGCTCTGCGAATGGTCTAGCTTTTCTCAAGCTAACTCTACTCAAGGGTTTCGGGCTGAGGTGTATTGAGATTGTCCGCAATCACGGTGGCGGTGACGGCTTGACCTTTGGATCGGGGGCCATAGTGATTTACACCGGAAAAACTAACTGTTCGCCCCACTAGCCCAATGGCTAGGGCGTCAGACTTCTATTACTTGAAATCTGGAGGTTGCGGGTTCGAGTCCCGCGTGGGGTTTTGCTCCTTGATATTTTGAGGGCCAA